GCTGACTCCTTCCCTTTATAGCCGCTGTTTTGGCTCCTACCGCACAGGCCTCAAATTTCCATTCCATCCACTGGATTCTCCTGAGCACGCACATACCTCCGCTGCACCACGTTGGCTTCTACTGCGCATGTTTCAGAGCAGAGGAATTTCCCTGTTATTGGTTCTCCCCTGCCCGCTTGATTGAACTGGTTGTCCCCTGGGGAGATCGGAAAGCCCTCTGGAGGGATGTTAATCCTCTTGGTCGGGCAATGAACCTATCCCCTGAAGTGTCTGGAAGCTATAGCTTCCCAGTTAATTCAGCTTAATTAGATCTCTGGCTCCATTTGCTCCCTTCCTTTGTCAACACCTAACTAGCTGCCTGCGCTGTTTCCAACCCCCTGGCAGCCTCACAGCCTCATCTACGGAAAGACTCACAGTGAGAACGTGATTCTTCTATTTAGAAGGCATAATTGTGTTCAAAAGTTTTGTTTCTTTAGGCAAATTTTATTTTCAACTGTGTCTTTTTCCAGAACTTAGATAACGAGACAAAAGGCTTTGGTGTCCAAGACATTTGTGAAAGAAAGAAGCTTTGTCGTCAGCAGCCTCCTGGAGCTGCTCTCCTCCTTTATGCATTACAGACAAGTAAAACTTAAAAGAAGGGCTAGTTTTCACTAGTATCTGTCAAACTGAGGGTCAGGGCTATTTCCTCCCTTGTGGCCCAGAAGTGAATTAACACAATTAAATATTTCAGTTACGTCTAGTTCCATCACACATTCGCTATGGCATGCTTGTTAAGTAAACTTTTCCAAAGAAATCCAGTCTGTTTCCTTCCTTAATGTCTATTCATTTGCTTTTATCAAGTCCTATTTGAAAGCCCTTCTTTTCCATTCAATTAAAAAAAATGTTGCATGTCAACAATACACTCAATTAAAAAAAATTACATGATTTCTGGTCTTGTAGCAGATGCTGACCATACCTTACTTGTTCGTACCATTTTGGGGCCCAAAGTGTTGTGGCCCTATTTCTACTGGCTAGAGGGGTTTCTCCGCCCCCCTCTTTTTTTTTTTTTTTTTTATGTTGAACTTGTTCTTCTCTGAAGACAACAGGCGGAGCCATGAGAGAGATGACCACACCCCAGGAGTAATTTTCACACAGCAGCTGCACACAGTGGGTGTAGAAATACTTCAGTATGTCCTCCCTGAGGAGGAGAGTTCAGAGGACAGATTATTCACAGGGTCTCCCTGTGTTCCAAGTTTGATAATGTACCCTCTGGGGCTTCCTTTGCTCCTTTTCTCCCTTTCTTACCCCCCTGCTGGTGTTTTGTGGCTCCTCCCCCTCATTTCCACTGGAGTCCTTGTGTCGGGGTCCTTCCAGGGGAGGAGAGACTAGGACTGTTCTGAGTGAGGACAGATGAGAGGAAAATCTCAGTTGAAAACAGTCCTCTGTGGTCCTGTTGCGTTTTAGCAGCTCTGTGGAGTAGGAACACCCAGTCCTTTGTTCTGGGCTGTGGTTTCAGTTCTACATCCGTAGCAGACTTCCGGGAAGGCAGGGATAGTGTCTCCCTCAGGGCAGAGCGAGGATTTACTTCCGTCCAGTAGGGTAAAGATAACCTGTCTTGGAGGCAAAGGTCAGGCAGGCTTACTGTGCCCTGGGAGAGGTTCCGGTCCCTGAACTCAGGGCCCTTGCCTGGCACGCAGCCTTCCGAGGGTGCGGCACTGACTGCCTAGTCCTCGCCTCATTCCCCAAGGAAGCTGGGCTTGCTGGTGTCTCAGGTGCTGCCACTCTGGGTCCTCCTCTTGCGGTACTGGAGTCTCTTCTCTCTGCCGCAGGCGCCCACGTCTTCCCTAGTTAGGTCGGTAAAAATCTCAGACACTTCGCAGCCCTCACATACCAGCACCGGTGAAATCATCACAAACATGATCAATACGTTTCAGGAAATGAAGAAAATGCTTTACAGCCCTGAGTTAAGAGACAGAGTGTGCGAGGTGAGGGAGAAGCTGAGGTTAATAAGATTTGTGACAGGATATCTGAAGTCGTCTTTGGAGGATATTGGGATGGCTGGGTGTAAGATGGGTGTTCCTTACTGAAAACCACACTTGGGAATATAAATGGACGGGACCTTTATGTGACACGGTGGAAGCGAGAAATTATCTGAGAAACTGTCCTGGTCCAGGTTATTGAGTCGGATCCCTTTGCCTTGCCAAAAAGACCAGACTCTTTCCCAGTTCACACCGATTTCATGTAGCCTTGAACCCCAAGCACACTTTATTCTTAACTCTCTCATAGGCTGTATCAAAGAGGTAGATACTCTTTATTATTATTAGGGTTGCAGTGTCATAAAACATGCTGTGAATATAGTTGTGTGTCCAAATATGAAGCAACATTTTAAGTCAAGTATGAATTAAAAACAAAACTTTAGTCTTAGGCTAAAAGAATAAAAGGTGACTAAATTATAATTACATTTGGAAGCATTTTATACTAATTGCTAATCCAGATTTTATTATATGTAATTGACTTTATTTTTAAATCTAGAATTTTTTCCCAATATTCTTAAGGTTTTAAAATTCCTTCTTTTATAAGACTGTCTTTTAATTTTCTATGAAAAAGACTACAGCAAGATGTGTAAGGTGTTTCTAAGGATCTAGTTGTACAATCATGTTTTAAGCGATGTGAGTCCAAGCTTGTACTGTGCTGTGTGGTCGTCTTCAACAAATGCAAAGTTATTTTTAAGGGATTGTATCAGGAGAACATTTTGATATTTACTCACATTATAAAGGAAAATAAAACTTATTTTACTTAATAGTTATTAAGCTATTTTCTTCTAATACTTTGCAGAAATTTAACATTAATAACTTTGTTTTGAAAGTCATTCATTTAGTCATTTAATATACAACAAATTTTGAGTAGCACCTATGTGCAGAGCAATATAGCAGCTAGTGAACAGGAGAAAAAACACATCAAACATTATATAGAAAAAGGAGGTGTTAAAAAACTTCGGTTATGGGCCAAATCCAGCTTGCTGCCTGTTTTTACAAATAAAAATTTATTGGAACACATCCATGCTCATTCATTTACATGTTGTCTATACCACTTTGACACTAAAGAACACACTTAAGCCTTAGTGACAAAGACCATATAGCCCACAGAAACTGAAATCACTTGTCTTCACAGAAAAAGTCTACTGACTTCTAATTGATAATGTAGATCAGTGTAGCAAGAAAATAAATGCCTAATAGACACATCATCCATATAATACTTAATGGAGTTATCAGACTAAAGGAAAAGTACATTTTACATTTTGGATTAAAAATCCACGACAAAGAATGTAAATTAAAAAAAGAACGTAAATATCTTACAAAAGCATTGATAGGCAGCGGGTGATGGGAAGCTGAACTTTTTCTGTCCTGCAGACGTCAAAGTCGCTTCTTGAGAGTCCCTTTGCTTGCTGCTTCCTATTAATTTCGAGGCAACAATCCAAGCAGGCGCTTTTCTGCCGAGCGGTCTGTAACATCTGGCGAATTCCCGGGAGGGCGCTGATGAAGCGGTCACCTCCCCTTGGTCCCCCCTGAGGAGCAGCAGGTGATAGGAAGCGTCTGGTTTCCCCTGAGAATCCATAACCATGCTTTGGATTGTTATGAAATCTAAAAGAAGTCCTTCCTTTGTATTAGCATTTTACTTCTAGTTTATATTTCAATTGCTTTCACCTGGCCTTTTCCCAGCATTAAAAAAAGCCTACAACTTGGTAAGTCATATGAAGACATTCAGAAACCTCTGGGCTTATGGAGCCCTCTCTGCCGAATTTCGCGCTGCAGACAGACGTGGAGCGATGAAGAGCTGTCAGTCTGAGGATGCCCTCGGTGAGACGTAGATCCAGCAGCAGGCACTTCTGGTTCTGGGCTCTTTGTGAACTTACATGGGCGAGGAAGTTACAGATTCCATGTGCGTCTAGTGGAAGTGAGAGTCCTACCTCTTCCCTCATTGTCTTCCCTGTGGATACCCTGCACTCCATGAAAATCTCATGTTGCTCATTCATGGGGTTCAGCCAGTGGCTCCCCAGCGAACGTGAATTTGGTAACTGGCAGTGATGAGAAGCTGATCTTAAATAAACCAGGAATGCTTTGGTTCCGTCAGTGAATCCAATGAGCGGGCGGAATCCTGAGATGGAAGATCCATTCTGATGGTGAAAGAGATGAGGAAATATCTGGGCGGTGATAACATGGGAAGATTCAGTCCATTCGGCGTGACTGAGGAGCTGCGAAGGCCGACTGCCCTCCCAGGGCATCAGACACGTGGACGGGGGGCTAGAGGCATGGGCAGCAAGAGGGCAGCAAGCGTGTGGGCGGCAGGGAGGCCTGTTTCACCGTTCCATCCAGAGTTCAGCATAACTCATGCTGAAGAGCGACTTCCAGCCCAGACATTTGTCACCCAGCTGGTGGGAACAGATGCCTTCACATGGGTCTTTGGGATCCAACATGATCACGTTATCTTACAATTCTCTGATGTTTCAGTTGCCTGTATCTATGCATCTGTGGGTTTTAGGTTGCTTCTGGCATTTGTTCTTCCTGCTGGTATACCATGTGCATCGAATGTAAAGAAATGACTTAGCTTTTTTTATTCGGTTTACCTAAGAACTATTTCCTGTGAGTGGCCACCCTCCAAGGTTTACTGAGCCTGACATTTAGCGTGAACATCAGGGCTTCGAGCAATCGCCTCTGTCCGTGTCTGGATGAGGGACCTGGTGGCTCCCGTGTGTTACGTGAAAGCGACATGCAGCTCGCTGTGACTTGCCATGCTCCTGAGCGCAAACCAGGCGATTCCAGCATGGAGTGGTGCCCATCTTCAACCTGCAGAATTAATACGTCTAATCAAAACGTTAAATCAGTCGTTTCCTTAGAGAATCAGCCGTCTGAAACGTTCTAGGTAAATGCTGTTTGCCGCTGGTACCGCAATTATGCTTTGTTGCTTCCCGTTTGAAAGTTTTCATTTATTTCCATTTCTTATTTGTTCATTAAAGCTTTTTCTTCCAAATGTTGAGTTCAGTCCAGGGCAGCTTCCCTGTTGTGTGAATTAAAATGTGGAACATTGAAACACAGGCCAGGTGAGATGATTGGATAGACAACCTCACTCTATTCGTTTACCCCCCAGCCCACAAAAATGGAAAAAAAAAAAATCAAACTTACCTCTACTTTTTTCCTTCGGGACATTTTCTTTTTGAATTACAGAGTTCCCTTAAATTCAGGTTCTTCTACTGGAAGATCCTTGGTTCTTGTAGGAGATTAAAGGAAAACCTTTTCCTGTGTGCGGCTCTATGTCCTGTATTCATCATTTGCTTTTATATTATGCAAATCCTCTTTAGCTTTGAGGATGCCATGAAACATTTTATAACTGCAGACAAATGTGACACTATGGTTAGTGTTGATAGATCTAAAGAAAAATGAGATGTATTTCAGATTAATAAATCTGAGTAATGACTGTAGGGTGTAGCCGGGTTTATTTAGACACTATTCTTTGTCAATGAAATGGTCTTAGGGACAACTTGAGACTAATTGATCATTTGTCTGATGCATCGATCCTTCCTCGATTCAGTAAAACCTGGAGTAACCTTAATGCTATGTACAAGCGAAGGTTGTGATTGCGAAGTGAAATGATGTCATAAAACATCCAGAAAATTGCACTGCGTAGACATCAAGAACTAACTAGCTGCCGTGAATATTTGTTAAGTAAATTAAGGAATCTTGTCCTATTTCTGACACATCAGGAAAACTCTCTGTGTGTGAATAAAAAAAAGGAGACAGGTCACTTAACCTTCTTCTACATTGCCTAATTTTAAGTCCTGTGTGAAATGGGAAGGAGTACCCCCCCCCCCAGAGTACTCCCGGGGTTATAGGGGTTGTGGATGATGTGATTAGTTCTCTCTAGTTATAGTCTAGCAGCGGCACAGGTTGGGGGCCTGGGGTGAGGACAGGCCTCGAGCCAGGCTCTGACGCCGGCGGGGCGGCCAGCTTCTGCAGGGCTTGGGAGAAGGGCTGTGCGGCTGTCTCCCCTGAGCTTGGACAGTGAGAGGGTCGCTGTGGAGAAAGCAATGAGGACTCTAATGGAGTCAAGGTTGAAGGATGAATAAGACAGTGGAATGGGGTCTAAAACCTTTGGGAATAAGCCACGTTTAGATTTATGTTACTCTTGACCTGTATTGCCACAGTAAAGTCTTGTCTAAGGATTTTTGAGTTGTTTCATCTACAGTGATGTGGAGTATGAGCAAAGGGCCCCTGGGCCATGGTTTTAAAGGCAGGAAGTGCATGCTTTTGTGAGCGGTGGGAAGGAAGCTCTCGGGGGGATGGTAAAATTCAAGAGCTAAGTCCTGGTTTTGAGGTATGGCTCCATTCCTCCCATGGAGATTCACTTTTTGTTGCCAATCTTAGTAAATCTTGTTCTATTTTATTGCAGAAGTGTTTTTTTTTTTCTTTTAAACTCTTAACCTCAGTTGTTTGTAAAGGTGATATACCCCATCAAACCATAGAAACATGCTTTCACTCAATATAGCTTTAAGAAACGTAGTGCATCAGGAATTGGGCCTACCAAATCAAAACCCCATGGTTTTTGCCCTGAGGAGTTGTGGTAGATTGAAAAGAATTTTTTACAGCTTCTCTCAGAGGGGTGGGCTCCCTCTCCCAACCCCCACCCTCTGCCTTGTGACTTGCTTTGACTGACAGAAGCCAGCAAAAGTGACAGGGGCTCTGATCTGGGCCTCAGGAGGCCTTCAGCTTCCATTCTTACTCCGGTGGAATTGGGGACAGCCATGTGAAGGTGCTGGCATTTGCCTTTTGAAGTCACATGGAGACCACAACCAGCCTCAAGTGCTGGCAGTGTTAGGAAAGCTACCCAAGTCCTCACAGCCCCGTTGACCCCCTGAATCACCAAAGCACACATATCGGCACAATGGAACAGCCTTCAGCCTGGAGAGGAAGAGACTTGCCACAACATGGATGAACCTGGAGGACATTAAGCTAAGTGAAATAAGCCAGGCAGAGAAAGACACGTTGCATGACTTCATTTATATGTGGAATCTAAGACAGTCGAAGTCATAGAACCAGAGAGCAAACTGGTGGCTGCCAGGGGCCGGAGGGCGCAGGGCGGTGATGGTCAAAGGGCGTGGGGTTTCATTTGTGCAGAGACCTGATGGCTAACAACGTGAAGACAGTTAACGAGACTCTTGCATGCTTGAGATTTGCTGAGAGGGACCACCTTATTCACATGTACACACACATGTGCACACTGAGCCATTTCAGGAAAGACCAGCTTCAAATGAGGCACACAGTTGCCCATAGGAGCTAATTTTTTTCTGTTTTTCTTTACTAAGTTTGGCGATGATGTGTTATGATCAATAACTAACTGACACAGAAGATTATCGCTTTTTGAAATGGAAGACAGACTTGAGAAACAAGCACATACATTACAAAGTAATGGCATTATAAAGGAAACACACAGAATGGCAGAATGTGAGCCTCCTCTCAGGGGTGCGCATGTGTCCTTGCAGCAGTCTGCTGAGTTTGACATTGCCTGCTTCCTACACTCAGTCTGTCCCTAGACTCCCAGTTACCTTCTTCCTTTCTGTGGCTCTTACTTGCTCTGCTCTCGCCTTGAAAGTTGGGGGCCTCTCCCAAAATTGCACGCTTACCTGGTGTCTTTTCATTCTGGAAACTTCAAGATTTGCTTGTGAGCTTCCTCTACGGCCTCTATGCTGAGCACCATAAATTCTCTACAGTCTGTTATTTATCCAATAATAGACATTCCAACTGGATTGCTTCCAAGTCATGATAAATTCAAGATGCCTATAAAACAATGTTACATAATATTTATTTAGTGCTTGCTCAGAGCCCGGGGGTTTAATTAATTGGTAAGTCTTAACTCATTTAATTCTCGTAGCATCCTGAGAAAGTAGGTCAGAGTGACCTGCGTTTAGACGTGAGCCTCAGGGAGTCAGGGAACGTGCTCAGGGTGGGGCTGTCGGTAGGTGGCAGTGTCCTTCGGGTCTCTGCGTCATAGAGCTCCCTCGTCAGTGCACCCTCCCAAGTCAGAAGACAGGGACTAAACGAGTGACACTTAATCAGCCCCCAGCACTTGCCTCTCGCATAGTTTGTAACCTGCACCTTCCCACGGCCATCGTCCAATGTCAGGCTCCCCTCTCCTGCTCTGGACTCACTCAGCAGTCGTCTCGCTGGTTTCCTTGCCTTCAGTACCCGCCTTCGTAGGGCAGCCATGTGACTACTAGCAACACAAACTCCCCAGGGCCCATCTGATCACACAGCCCCGTGGGTGTCTCCCCATCATGTAACTCATACGGTCACACGTGAAGTGCTGGTTTTGGCATATGCCCCAAGGCTTTCGTGAGTTCCTCTCTGCCTTGGGGAGGAGCTGTGCATCTTAGACTCGCTGACTACCTGTGCTCAGGCTCATCTTCCTTCACTGCTCCTCCTGCCTGGGAGCCCGAGCACACGGAGTTCAGTTGGTCATGGTGCAGTGTGCATGTATTTAGGCCACGCGCTCGGCCTTTCCCCTTACTTGGAACGCCCTCCCTGCCGCAGTTGCCCCACCACGCACACCCTTCCATGCACTGCTGCTCTTCCCAGAGACCCGTCGAATCTCAGGCAAGGGTTCGCTTTCCCTGAAGCCTTCCCTGGGTCTTCAAGCTGACGTAGAAGGCCCTTCTCTGTTACCACTGAGTGTTGATGCGTAGCCATCTACGTAACACACGTCTGGCGGTATTAACTTTTCTCATCTGGTCTCTTTCTTGAAGGCAGAGATAGCTCACAGTTTATCACATACATGTGTATCCATGACATAAATTGCAGTGCCTATTAGAGTAGGCCCTTAAGTATACGTAGAATGAAGGAAATATGAAAACACCCTGCTACAAGTCTGTGGTGACAAAGGCTTCCTGGATCCTTTCTCTCCTAGCTCATCGCCGACTCAGATAATTCATTCTCCCTCCTGGATTTCTGTGCTTCTGTAGGAAGCATGCACACACGCGTGTATGTGTGCCCACGTGTGCGATGTGTGCCCGCGCACGAGCACACCTGCCGTGAGGCTGGGACTCAGTGAGGAAACGGCTGTGACCTTATCCTAAAACGGGAGTGCAGCAGTTTTATTCAGGGCAAAGGCAATTTGCAGTCTTTCCGTGACACATTTCTAGCAAAAGGCATTGTGATCATTTCCACGGGATGAGGAGACTGTCTGTCTGAGCTCTCTACTTTGACCCAGGGGTTCACCACCTGTGATAAAATGCAATAAATAGGCAGACTTTGAAATAATGTCAGCTCCGAGATGTTAGGAGACGAATAGCAGGCCATGTCCTGAACAGGAGGTTAATTGCCGAAACACAAAGCCTCCCTCAGGGAAGTGCTGCCTGGGATGTGACCTTTAACCCCAGGGCACGAAAATCCCAGTGCTTGTCATCAGATAGTCTAATTGCATGCTCTGTGCTAGAACTTCTTTATCACAAAGAATTTGAAATCCTCTAATTAGCTAGGATTTAAAAAGCAAACAAAATTGAAATGTCAAAGGTCAGTACAAACAGAAAGGAAGACCCGGAAGCCTGGAGGAAGAGGAAGCAGGAATCGGAGCATTGAAGGAGAGCTACTTAGCCAAGTCCGGTCTTTAAAAAAACTAAGGCAGCAATTATGAATAATTATAGTGACTAGGGTTTCAGGTCTGCGAGGGGTTACAAAAGCATGGCTTGGCATTTCAGCGAGTAATTTCAACACACTTGAAGCGTATGCTTTAGAAAGAAATTATTAAAGCTGAATTGTGGCTTTTTATCTATAAACATGATTTCTCTATTAAAGTAGTTTGATTTCTTAAAATAGTCTTAATGTTTGTAGGTCCTGCACCATGGTGCAGTGTGCATGTATTTTTTTCCATTATCTAAAACTGCGTGGATTCAGAGTTCCCTGCACACTTGATCAGTTCTTCAGAGGGAGTGGCCAGATTCTGTGCCATTTTTCCCCAGTATGTGCGTCTGCTTCGTCTTTGTCATGCATACAAATGAATTTTCATTGTCATTTAGAAGGTTGTTTAAAGAGGAAAACAGGAAATTTCCACACCCATGTCCTAAGTTTCTAGCTGGACTCCTTATATTCAGACTCACGCGTGTTCTC